CCATGAGCAGGATTGCTCTGCTGAGCACACAGAAACCTCTAAACCTCTACTGTACCTGCCAATGCAGCTTTGAATTTAACAGTTGTCAGAAATATACCAGTCAGAAAAGAGTAAACTGCTAAACATTTGGGTTTTTTTGCTATAACACAAGAACAGCAAAGGATATTTAGAGATTACAGAGCCTCATTTCTAACTTGCCTTCAGAGTTTCCACCTTAAAGAGTAGCCATTCCTGAGCAGAAGACCATCCACTCCTATAGCAACAGGTTGCTGTTTCCTATTCAGTGATAGAAGATGCTGGAGATGGATTGTGAGCAATGCCCATGGTACACTGCACTGAGAAAAATTTAACTTCAGCATCTGGCTTACTAGAAGTATAGGGCCAAGACACACCTGGACAACCCTAACTTGTCCTTCTGAACAAAGCCTTGTCTGTGCAGTTCTGGATTCTGAAAGCCTTGCTCTCAACAGGACAGGAACTACCTATACAAGTATTTAGCTTGGCCTTCCGGAAAAAAAATACTGTTTGTTAAATTTTAAATGTCGTGACCCTTTTTGCTCTCCCTCAGGCTGACACCCAGCTTACACATAGCCTTTAGCTCTCAGCATACACACAGCAGTATGTGTCTGTGTCCTTCCCGGGCACGGCAGATCACTCAGTGCGCCTTGCCCCTCTGATGGGGGCACCTAAGGGTGAGCTGTGGGAAGCACACTTTGGGATCATTTTCCTCATTATCAACTTTGTATTTTGCTAGACTGTACTTTCTGGGAGAGAGCAATTTTTCCATGAGGAAACTTTTACTCTGAAATGAGGAAGATCCATTTTTTGATTAATTAATTAACATTGTTGAGTCTTACACGGTGGGATAAGATCTTCCACATAAGATCTTCCTTCCACAGTGGGACCTGACATAGCATCTCCAAAAACGGAAAAGTAGAGCAGACTGGGGCTTTGGGCTCTACTCCTATGCAATAGAACAGTTATTTCTTTCTTTCTTTCCTTTTGTTTTTTGATCTGCAACAAGATACAGTTCTGAAATGTATTCTTGCTAAACAGAAGAAAGCTGTATTCATTTTTGTCAGAACAGCACTTTGAAATTCCCCAAGATAAGACACATAAATAAATGAAGAATTATACTTGGCAATGAATTTGGCATCAGACTTTAAATGTTTCATAGTTCTGGGCTGAGCAAATAAGTTGAGCATGTCTTTAGAACCTTTCCGGAGATGTGCTCGGAGTGTTTGGATATACTTGGCAGCACCACGTTCAGGGGAGGAAAGAAAGAGGAAGTTGCTTATTCAAAACGTGAGAAAGGGTTACAACACGCGACATGCCTGACATTTAAGTGATAGAAGTGTTTTACATATGCTCTTTTGGCTTTGGTCTGACACCTAGACTCTGCCACAGTGCAACTTAGCACTGTCACGGTGCAGCCTTGATAACTCAACTCAGAGATGTGACTTCCCACTCCTTTTGGGAACATATGGGCTGCAGATCGCCCAGCCTCAGCATGAGCTGAGGGAGCGTACAGCGGCCACAGCGTAGCCCCTGTGAGCTCTTCAGCTGCACGAGGTGCCTTTGCAGGCTGCACCATCCTCCAGGGTGGCATTTGCATTTCTGAAAATTGTGGCTAATTAGAAATAAACAGAAAAATGCTTGATTTACAAAGGAATGTGTGATTCTGCTAGCTAATTTTTTTTTTACCATCTTAACATTCACAGAAAAGACTGATCATGCTAATGCTTTCAATATATTCATTAATAAGGACAATTTACATTTATGTAGCATCTCTCTTAGTTAAAAATCTCAAAGTTTTCAGCAAAATATACACAAAAAATTAAATCCATTTCACTGAATACAGTCATCGTTGGAATGAAAATCAGCAATTTTGGAACACCGCAGAAGAACATTACACAACAGATGAAAATAAGACAAAGCAAAATCCCCAAGAACTCAAGGCAAAAGAATCCCTGAGACGCCAGATACAATTGTAGGTAAAGAGGATGTTATTATGCAAACAGCATTGTGAACCGGGCCTGCGGTGCCCTAGGCAGTGGTGCTTGGAGGCAGCAGACATACTTCAGAATGATTAAAGGAATATTCTTCATACATGTGCAGCCTACTGCTTCTGCAACAGTGGGATCTCTGTGGGAGACTCTCCGTTTAAACTGGGCATCTGCTGAGAAGAATGAATAGGGGAGACTGGATGGAGTCTGGTGATGAGAAATGGAGAGGTGGGTAAGTATGTGAATTGTAAATGGCACATATCTGACCACTGAGCTTCCTTTTTTTTTTTTTCACAAATGGCCTCCACATTTTAAAAGCCATTTGTTACGTTAATACATTTTTCTGCAAAAATAAAATGAAATAAAAATGAACTTCTTTGAAATGATGAGTTTTAATTCTCTATCATAGTGACACATAACTAGAATTCCCAGACCAAAATGAAGTCATCTATTCTCTTTGTGTTCAAACCTCCTTCCATCCTAAACCTCATCTACTCTAAGCACTGATCAAGTCTGCACACACAGTATTATAAAGTCGAGAGTCAGAGGTAGGAAAAAAAGCCATCCATCTAAAGTAAAATTAATAGCAAAACTTGGAGAGAGCATGCATGCGTTAGCAGGACCAAAACATGAGCTATTACATGACAAATGCATTGATAAATGTTCAACCCTGCAAATGCAAAATAACTTTGGTTTGGTTAATAAGCATCCATTATAACTCTTTCCCATTATTCTGAGGCAGACAAGGCAGTTTTCATACTTGACCCTTGAAAGCAGATTTGGTTTTGTAATTAACATGTTATCCAGGGATTTTTCTTTCCACATCTCTCTTCTCCTTTCAGTACTCTCCCTCCAGCACAGAAAAGATTTCCTTGCCTGCAGTTGCTGCCACATTCAACAACTGCTGGCTGAGACCTCACAACACACTGCATAAATTCACTTCAAATTATTCAGGTTTGGCACATTTCTGCTGGTGAGTAACAACAACCTTTTTGTTTCTGAGACAAAGGAAACAAAGATTTAAAGAAAGAACAAAGGCAGCCTAATAAGAATCCCACATTTCCTACTTTTTCCTAATCTGGTTGAAGTCTCTACAAGCCTGAGAAATTCAACAAAGCTAAGTTGTTGTGGACTGTTTGTCTTTCAGTACAGAATCAACACAGATGGAACAGCCTTCCCAGCACGACTTCTGACCACAGGTCAGATATGAGGTAACTTTCTCTTCGCCTGTTAGAAGTTTTGGTTTTTGTTTTTCACTGAATTGTCGTATTTGAGGGTGCAATTACAGCTAAAGCCACACTAAGATCCAGGATCCTGACACTGAATCCAGACTTGGTTGGCATTTCAGTCATGTCCACACAACAAGACAAGAGCTCATTCAGTGCAGTTACAGCCACGATACAAGCAATCAAACAAAAGAGGCCAGAGGGAGAGAGTTGGGCACTTCTTTATACTGCGTGTAAAAACAAAGCATAAACCATACTTCCAAACTGATGACACGTTTAAAATGTTAAGCTATAAAGTCCCTGTTAAAACTGATACTAAGAAGCAACCTTTATGACAACGTTTTGCTTTCATGCTGAGTTACATCTCTACATATTTATTCTTGAGAAGTGTATGAATCTGAATTTGGGCTCCCTCCTGCTGGAAATTCCTTGGGTTTCCTGAGTTAGTGCGAACCAAGTTTCTGATCTCTTTGTGATACACAGATGCTCATACAACTCCACTGACAATCACCCCAAGCACTTTCTAGGAAAGCAAAACCCTTCTGATGGCAAAAATCTGTGATCCATGCCTCTAACTTCACCCTCTTTGCTCTCATGCAGCAGCAGAAGAGTTAATACGAAAGAAGAGAATCAGTAATGTCATTATGTTTGGAAAGATCTCTCTCATACTGTATTTAGGTGAAAAGAAAGAGAAATACTTGGCCCAATCCCTGCTACGCACTTAGATTTATGTCAAAAGTGTTTTATTACTATTTATAACAATGACTCAGTAGACATTTTTAAAGTACTATAATGCCACAAACTGAAAACACTCCTGTATCTGTGCTCTCCAAAATTAACAAGTGTTGTATCACATAGCACCGACTGAGGCTATGGTGAGACACTACAGATTGTAATATGAACTCAAAGCATAAACAATTCCTTAAGTCCCCCATGTCTTTCTCTGTCAGCTCTTCTTTTCACATACTTTTATATCTTGCCTACATACTCAGATGTTGGTTTGAAAAATCCAATTAATTGACACCATGATACTGCTAATGAAATCTTACATTCTTTCAGTCCCAAATTCCAGAAACACCTAGTTTTAAAACTACCATAACGGTAGGTAATCATCAGCTCAAAGGGAATGCTGTTCTCTTTTTAATCCAAGGAAAAACTTGACCATCTTTCTTTAATGCTATCAACCTGGAAGCTTGACAGTAAGGATTAAAAATTGCTCTTTCCTTCCCACTTGGTTATTGGAAAGGCTGTGAAAGGCAATCAGTCTTGTGAAGCCACACTTCACAGTCTGCATAAAAATGCCATGATTCCCAGTCCTCTCCCCAGTCTAATTGAAAGTGCATAATATCAAACAGCTGGGGGAAACTAAACTGTAAACATATGCAATATATCATGTTATCATACAAAACCTGTTACTAATAGGCATTTGATGATCAGCAGATTGAAAGGGATCTGAAACCAGAGATTATTTTTGCTGCAGTGTAAGAACTTTTCCCGAGCGAAAAAGGAAAAAAACACACTCTCAGCAGGGAAGGAATTGGACTGGAGTCTGTTCATTCATTCTGTTTGTGAAATATGGACTTTTTTTAATGATTTTTGTTTGACTGCTGACTAGCTCAGATGCTTTGGGGGCACTGCTGGAGCAAATCACAGTTTTGGTTAAGAGGAAATTCATGTCTTTCTAGTCAGTAAATACAGACGTTTAGAGCCTCCCTGTCCAGCCCACTCCCAAGCTATCATTGTTTCTAATGCCAGGTGGCAATATTACCTGTCACCAGGAACCTGCGGGTAGTGCTGCTTGTTTATTTTTGCATACAATCCTTCCAAGTGTTCCCTCTCCACTGGTGTTGAAGAAGAATCACGCGGATAAACGAAGGTTTCCGCGACTGCTGGAGATGATGGTCTGTAAATGCTTGCTGCTGGATAAGCCTCTCGGAAGTGGTTCACTCTGGCATAATTTGGATCTACCTCATCATCATCTATGTCGGGTCCTCCAGGACCAGTAGAATAATCAAGCAGGCCCCTCAGTTGCTTTTGACGTAACTCCTGATGCTTTGCTCCAATCCTAATAATGAAAAACAAAAAAACAAGTATGCAACTGGATCTGCTTCAACATCAACCACAGACACTGATTCATCACGTAAATATGGAGCACCAACTCCAAACCCAACTGCTTAGATCTTTCCGTACACTGTGAAACTGGTGCCAAATGAAACAGAATTGTTCACATGGAAATTTACCTCTCATAATCACCTTTGGAATCAAGGTGGTCATCATTCTGATGAAAAAAATAACGCTAATATGGTGGCTCTTCATAGCTCTATGTGTACATGCACGCACGTGTACAGTTTTAATTCTACACCTGCTCTCCGCTTCTGCAATTAATATACCTAACCCAATCCCAATAATTTTAATCTAAAGTAGCCAATACAATTATTGTTCCCCCTTGGCCAGTTGACTCACCACATTCTTAAAAATAAACTAACCTGTGAAAAGTGAATTAAATGTAAGCACGCATAGAGAGATGGCACAGCTGCCTCAAATCAAAGGGCCACAGTTAATTTGCTGAAGATTTAATTTTTTAATTTTATTTTGGATACATAGATGGGGAAATCATGCCTCATTATATGGGGGATAGGCAAAAAGTAAAACAGCAAAGAAATTAATAGAAACCTGACAGAGATGAATTGGTACATATAAGTGAATTAAAGACTATTACTGGCAGTACTCCACTGTGATAAAGCCTTAAGTGGTATTACAAAATGCTGCTGCTAATCAGAGCCATTGTGTAATCTCTTTAGAAAAGTAAAACATATTCAGGTAAACTTCAAACTCAGCTGATATTCAATGATTCAACATTAATTCTGGAGGAAAAAGAAGAAAATAGCATGCAACTTCTGCTAACTGCTCTGCTATTCTACAACACCGCATAATTAAATGCCACGAGATGGATCAAGCAGAATGATGATCACAGTACGTAATAAGTAGCATTTACAGAAAATAAAGACTTACTGAGGAAAAATGAAGAACAGAAGACTACAGAGACAGTGACTGACAGAAGAATTCAGCATTTTTCTGCTGACTGTAAACGCTGGCACAGGTTGCCCATCCCTGAGACAACCAAGGCCAGGCTGGACTGGTCTCTGAGCACCTGAACAAGCTGTAGATGCCCCTGTTTATTGCAGGGGTGTGAGACCAGATGACTTTTAAAGGTCCTTCCCAACTCACATGATTCTATGACTATCTGAAGTACCGCAGCACTGTAGAAGAAACAGTATAATTTGTACTACAGAAGAGTAAGTACAAGTTGCTTTTCTACACGTATGCCTGAGTACATTAAGGTGCATCATGCAGGCTTTCTAGTTAGACCACTCCCTTATTTGTGGTAGGATATATCTAGTGAGGATACTAAATAAAAGGATAGCATTTTAATACCTAAAATGTAGTCATGCTTTACAGTGGTATGAGCCTGCAAATGATACAGGGCCCTTGGCATAAGGGGTGCCCACCATCTACTCTGCCTTTCCTCACTGGAGCAGATCACCTTTCTCCTCTCTCAATATCTTCTTAAAAAGACTAGGAGAGACAACAACATCTTCATAACACAACATTTCTGCTTTTCTTCAAACTCTCCATCTCTGCCCAACAAGTTCATATTTCACTTTTTCTTAAAGTTTCATTAAGGGTAATCAGAAGGCCTGAATGCAATCTACTACAATAATTCTTAGACATTAAATAAGAAGAACATAAGCTATAATCCATCTATATCCTTAACACCTCCCAAGATTCTACAGTTAGGCTACCTATGAATTCCTCAGAATTTCTCCCTTTTTCTACTCGGAGTTTCTCTCCTCTGCATAGTCCCCTTCTTCCACACCTTTCGCCCTATTCCTCTGTTGCTTCAGGTTTTCATGCCACACACAATCCCCGCTTTGCATTCAAATGTTGGCCCAGGTCAGGCACTAGCAGCGAGAGCAGCCTCACACAGGTGATTCAGTATCTTGCAGCCATCACAGGCTTCAAAAACGTGCCTTTGATGCTGCACAATTCTTGCTCTATTTGCAAGGGAGATTTTCCAGCAGAATCTTTTGGAGGGCACAGTCTGGTGTCAGTGTGTGATAAATTCAGTTAGCAAGGCACTTCTTTCATTTTACTTCTGATTGCTCTGGCTCAGTTGGATGATGGCTTCTTGAGATGGTGAGAGCTTAACAGCATTCACAGAAAGGTGGGACATGCGACTTACCCTTGGCAAAACTATTGGTGACACTGGTGTATTCCTTGGTAAATGTCCTACTTTTATTCAGAAAACAACAGGCAATAGTAGGGAGAGAAAAATCAACATGGAGGAGCTGTATATGAAACCACGAGCTAAAAAGTAGTGGTCAGCATTCCTCTCTGTCTAAACCACAAACTATTGCTAGCAAATCAGCAATCGCTAAAAAGCAGCTGAAAGCATGTAAAAGCCTTTATCCTCAAAGGGTTTGTGAATAAAGATAAAAGAGAAATTTTACAGCAGGGTTTGGTGGAGAGAGTCAGCCTGCCCATGTCTGTGTGTAAAAAAACATGAAAAAACGCACTCACCATTCACATAAAGAAATGTGGGGCAAAGTTAACTCCTGATCCATATGTGCAAAAGCCATTTGTTGCAGGTACTTCAACACCTGAAAGCACTCATTTGTGCTACAGCAACAGGGGTGGATTTCTACTGCAAATATGGCCTCAGACATCAATGAAGCAGGGAGGGAGGTCTGTGCTGCTCATTTCCATCTTTTATACATAAACAGACTTCAAGAGAAACCCTCTTGCAGAAGGATTAATATTTTACATGTCCCACATGGGATGACATTAGAAATGTAAAAATCTATCTATCTTTGTTTAAGAAGTTCACACAAATAACTGTTAGCTCCTGCACCCAACAATTCTATGTTTGGTAGCAGCTCTTGCTTCTCGTTATCCTGCTCTTCATCTACTAAAATTCACAGAGCACTTTGAGATTTTCTATCTTTCAAAGCAAGTTTGAGGAAGATTACTTGAATGTTCTTAAAAATACGGAAAACTGGTGAGCTTCAGTCCCTGTCAGTAATCAAAAAGCCTAACAGAGCTCAGTGCAGGAATATATCAGCTGAGTTACAAGTTCCAGTCACAGCAGGGAATTTTACAGACCTGTATGGGATGACATGGTGAAGAAAAAGAGGATGTTGTAGGAATGGTCTTTTCACACACCAGTGCAGAAGGCACGGCACACATTCACAAAGAGAGTCACTGCAGCTTCTCAGAAAACGTGAAGACACAACATTCCTTGGACATATACATCATCTATCCCTAGGTATTTAAGACGTATTTGAAAGCTAAAGAGTTGTGCAGCACAGCAACACCGTGTGATTCTTGCTTTCATATCTGACACTGAGAGCAATTTGTCCTGCTATCAGTACTGGTCTATCCAACACAAGAAAAGCTGGAATTAGGTCATCTCAATTTTCTTTTGTTCCTGTGAATAAGCCTATCTTCTTCAACTTCTCCTTGTGAATGCAACCTCCAATCACTTCCACTATTGTAAACTGAACCTTCCTGGGAACAATTATTTCCATCTGATACTATACTGACCAGTCAATACCAGGTGATGTGAAATTTTTCATGATCAATGTTTCATCTTTTCAACATGGCTATTACAACTGCATTAATATTTTGTTTCCTTCTTACTCTTCTGCACAAATCCATAAAGTTTGCTCCATGATCTCATTTTTCACTTCAATCCAAATGCTCAAATACACAGAAATGAACTGCTGGACAACTGATTCTTTTTTTCCTTCTTGCTATTCCCTAGCTTCCCAGGCCTTCTATTACGTTTCTCACTTTGGAAGTTGTTTTGAAGAGCTTGACTGCACTTCAGCATCATGATTTTTGCCCATTCTTAATGCAATCTTTTCTACAGCACATCCCAGTAGATGTAGCATAAAAAAAGTGAATATATTGTTCCTTCCATTGTTCCCATGAAGCTCTGCCAATCCTGTTAAGCAGACTTCTGCTATATCCCATTCTATTCCTTTCACGTTGCACCTTCCTCCCTATCTGAAAAAGCATTATCTTTACTTCCCACCACAAAAATAAAGAAAATTCTTCTAAATCAACACAATTTTCATAGCAACCAGCTTACAGTTACTCAGAGCAAACAACAATCGCACGAGAGTCCAAGAGTTGAAAGCACAGGATGGGTCTGGTAAAACAACTGGTGCAAATTTGTGACAAAAGATAAAATGTCACTCAGCACCATGATGCTGGCAGCGAAACCAGAGATGAGGAGAGGCACAGGTCACCATCTGAGCAATTTAGTGTACCACTGAAGTTTGTACAAACTTCCTGATGAGAGAATGGGAAAAAGGCCTCTCAGAATGAAGGGAAGTTAACTATATTTCCTTTCGGTATCCCATATCAATCCTGCTCGCTCTCTTCCGCCACCTGAACATCATGCTCTCCACTTAAATCATGGCATGGCAACTACATCAACTTCCCTTAGCTGCGTTTCTGTAAAAACACAACCTCTGCACACAAGCAGCCAGAAAATAAGCAGCAGAAGTGCTGCATCAAGCAATGCCCTTTTATTTCCTGTGACCCACCTTCTCCTCAACAGCATCCAACACACATCCTATCTTTATCTTTTTTGTCTCCTTTGAGACCCGCTATCGCTTTCTATAAAACAAATCATTTCAACAAAAAATTCTAATGAGATAAAATATATAACCTCAATAAAATGATAGGTTTCACTTTCAAAATATGTTGCATCCTACTTTTTCGGATTCAAATGAAGACAGGATTCTATAAACCTCATGTGCTCCTGAAAGTGAGGCATGGTATTCTGAAAGCACTCAAGTAACGTTTGGTAGCACATTCCCAGAAGTAGAAATCAAGAAAATGCTCTCATTTACCTTTAATCTTCCTGTCTGACATATCCACAGATATCATATACACAGATTTCTCATGTGTTACCACATGAAAAGACACACACACCCAGAATGCAACAGCTATAAAGGGGTTAAGAGCCCAAGCAGCAAGCAAATCCTTCCAGCT